CAGCTCCTGCCTGGCCGGACAGAACTGAGCTCAGTGGGGAGCTGTGGGGTAGCCCCTCTCTGCTTGGCACATTCCTGTTTCTGCACCTTCACACCAGTCCCCTGCAGCCGGCCCTTCCCTGCGGTGTGGCTGCCACAAGGTCACTTGCCATCCCCCTTGCCCTGTCCATTCTGCTTCAGGTTTGCACTGCTGCATTCTCCCCTGCCGACTGAAAGGGTGTTTGATGTTTGCAGGGAGCTGGATGGTCTGAAGAGAGGAGGTGTGGGCCTCTCTGAGGAGCCCCAGTGCTACTAGTGAAGCGGCATCATGCTGGCTCCAAAGAAAGGCCTGCTATGCAACCTCAACCACATCCATCTGCAGCACATCTCTCTGGGGCTGCACCTCTCGCGGCACCCGGAGCTCCAGGAGACCCCTGGCTCCATGGGTGCAGGAGACCAGACCAGCTGCAGTGATTGCTCAGAGAACTATGAGCAAGTGGATGCTAATTCCAACAATCCCTCCTTGAAATGCCATTGCTGTGAGTCCCATACTCAGCAGCTGGTGATGTTGGGCCTCCAGAGCCAGGCACCTCAAGATGATTTCCCCTGCCTGCACGCTGGGGAGGAGGTGGCTTCCCCTTGTGATCCCCCTTGTGATCTGGCCTCCTCCTCCTCCTCCTCTGTCAGTAGCTGCTCAGATTTCAGCTTGGATGACTCCCCTGTCTCAGTGTACTGCAAGAGCTTTGCCAGAGAAGAGTCCCAATCCCCTCAAAATCAGCCCAGTGTCATTGCCATAGAAGATGCCCAGGATGGTCAGTTGCTGGCTGACCAGGGTAGAACGTGTGACGGAAGAGATGCCAACTTCAACCCCCCGGTGCTCCAGAGACCAGATGTCCTGGCTGGAGGGAGCCCGGACAGCCTCTGCAGCAGCAGCCTACTTGATTCCCAGTGTGATGAGACCTCTCCCAGCGTGGCAGTGGAAGGAACCACCAGCATCTGCACTGACCTAGACCCTAACTGCAACCCCCTCCCTGAGCCTGATGCTGCACCTCTGGCGCTGCCTGCGCCGGGACAGCGGGATCCTTCTCTGAGCAGAGCTCCTGAGCTGCAGCCCCAGGCTGGCAGTGGCCCCCCACCTGTGCCCCCTCGGCCCCGGAGACGGCTGCAGGTTCTGAACAAGCACAAGGCAGCACAGCCACTGCTGCCCACACGGCCGATGGAAGCGGAGCCTGCCTTGGGTGACCTCTGTAGGGAGGTGGGCAAGAAGACCATCACGTCCTTCCATGAGCTTGCCCAGAAGAGGAAGAGGAATGCTGCTGGGCCTGCTCTTGCCCAGGCCAGGGCTGACCGGAGTGACTGGCTGATCGTATTCTCGCCTGACACGGAGCTGCCACCCCCCAGCGAGCTCCTCTCCAGTGCCACGGGCCAGGACCCAGCCCAGCTGCAGCTTGACAGGCCAGCGAGACCTTCCAGCTCCAGGCAGAGAGAGGTGACAACATTCAAAGAGCTGCGATACCGCAGTGGCTCCAGCAAGCCCAGGTGCCAGCCAGTGGGCAAGCGGGCAGAGCTGGTGGCATCTCAGTACCCCTCTGCATCCCTTGAGGTGCCCATGGGCTGCAGCAGCTCCAGTAGCAGCGCCAGCTGGTCTCCACCCGTGCCTCTGCGCGGGCGGTTTCTGGCACCCATGGGCAGCCAGGAGCTGCACAGCAGGAGGTCCCGGCCAGGACTGCTGCCCGTTGCCGAGGGGCAGCCGGGGGGCGCAGAGGAAGAGGGGCTGTCGCCTCGGGGCTGCCTTCCAGGAGAGACAGCGCTGGGCATTGGCTGTGGTCAAGACCCATGCATGGGGAAGCTCGAGGGGCCTGACGGGGCCCCCTGGATGCCAGGGACAGTCAGGAGAGGAGACAAGTCCCACGAGGAGGGTAAGAGCCTGGGTCCCTGCTGGGCTGGGTGTCACCCGCGAGGGGCTGAGTGGGGCCGGAGTGGGGCTGCGGGACC